ATAATAATTAAAAAAAATTTGGCCCAGCCAAATGCTGAATTTGTTTTTCTCTGGTGCGAAGTAGCCAATTATCAGACGAGGTGGAAAATCGCAACCTGTTTATTCTGCACAGCACAGAGAGGTGCTGCTCTGGGGATGACATCACAAACCGAGAGCACCCGACACACAACTTGGCATTGTTTAAATACACTTTTGGGAAACCAAGGCACATGATCATTAGCAAGCAATATGTTATAGTTCCGGCTAATGAAACACTTCAAAGAACTTCCAGGCATTGATTTTCCTAAAAGTCATTTATTATGGTATAAAATGTCGGCACGGCATAACGAAGGGATGCTAAGGTCTAAAATTCCCACCCACCGAGCAGTATTTTGCTAGCGTTTCCACTCCCTACTTTGCTGTCATGATATACTGTTCACCAATTAGCGTGAAGGGCAAAGGTTCCCTTCCTTTCTGTTTTGCAGGCTTTTCCCTCCTCCCTCCTCTGCTCTGCATTAACTCTAAAAATACCAGACAGTTCTGCATATTTTGTCAAAGCAAGAATATACAGTATTTTCAGTGTTGACACAATAGGCAATAAAGTATTCCAAGCCCTGGTAGAGGATGGTCCTCCCAGAATGGTTCATTACTAAAATATTACAATCCTCGCCTTCTGTCCCTAATTTATAAAGCTGATAATAAGGCTGAGCTGTGGTGGTGCAGTGGTTAGAATGCAGTATTGCAGGCTACTTCTGCCAGCGGCCAGCAGTTTGGCAGTTCGATCCTGACCGGCTCAAGGTTGACTCAGTCTTCCATTCCTTCCCAGGTCGGTAAAATGAGGACCCAAATAGTTGGGGTCAGAAATGAGGAGGCGATAAGCCGCCTGGGAAAGCCAAGGGAAATCATCAAAACAATTAAAAAACGGAAGTTAGAATATTTCGGACATGTGATGCGACACCCAGAAAAATATGGCATACTCCATTTAATCCTTCAGGGAAAGATGGAAGGCAAACGAGGTCCAGGCAGAAGAAGAACACCGTGGCTTCAAAATCTAAGGGACTGCTTTGAACAACACTCAGCAGCACTTTTTCGTGCAGCTGCTGATAAAAACAGGATCGCCAACATGATTGCCAACTTCCGATAACGGATATGGCACAAGAAGAAGAAGATAGTTGGGGGCAATATGCTGACTCTGTAAACCGTGAAGTGGTATATAAGTCTGAGTGCTATTGCTAATTAAGTATGCAGAACTTATCTGCAACAGGAAAGGAGAAGTTTTCACTCATGTTAGAGCAGTGATTCTCAACTTTTTAATGCTGTGACCCCCAACCGGTCGTAAGTCGAGGACTACTCAATCGGTCGTAAGTCGAGGACTACTCAACTGATGCAGCACCATTTGCAGAATGGGACTTTTGGCGGGCTCAGCAGGGCAGAGACAGCTTGGACAATTCCTATTGGCTTTTGAAAGCCAATAGAATTAGACTCTATTCAAGAGAGTCTATTCTATTGGCTTTCAAAAGCCAATAGAATAAAAGGGAGTAGCGCAGCTAAGGAAAAGGGGGAAAAAATGGCAGACTGCGTTGTTTGGCGACCCCCGTGAAATGGTCGTTCGACCCCAAATGGGGTCCCGACCCACAGGTTGAGAACCGCTGTGTTAGAGGCACTGAGGTGCTTCCAGGTTGAAAGGATTAGCCAGTGACATCACCGCTGCCCAGAAACGCCCAGTTGGGGGCTTCTTTCATGTTCCTGACAGCAGCTGGAGCAAAGGATGGGAGCTTACCTCAGCATGGCAGCGCTCAGGTCTCAAACGCAGGTTTGCTAGCCTCCAGCCCAGTTTCCTAACCACAACAGCCACAGTGCTCATTAAGGAGAAGCTAACCCCTGAATAAAATGCTGGCCTGATTTGAGTTCCTTGATAAGGCTATCAAAGAGCCTTCCAGGAATTTTAGGGCAAGGATATCAGGCCCCAAAATGAGGAGCCCAAAGGAGAAATATCTAAATGCAAAGTGAAGGGTTTCCCCCCCACACACACACGAAATGGGGATTCTCTAGAGCAGTGGTTCTCAACCTGTGGGTCGTGACCCCATTTGGAGTCGAACGACCATTTCACGGGGATCGCCAAACAATGCAGTCCGCCATTTTTTCCCCCTTTTCCTTAGCTGTGCTACTCCCTTTTATTCTATTGGCTTTTGAAAGCCAATAGAATAGACTCTCTTGAAGAGAGTCTAATTCGATTGGCTTTCAAAAGCCAATAGGAATTGTCCAGGCTGCCTCTGCCCTGCTGAGCCTGCCAAAAGTCCCATTCTGCAAACGGTGCTGCACCAGTTGAGTAGTCCTCGACTTACGACCGGTTGAGTAGTCCTCGACTTACAACCAGTTGGGGGTCGCGGCATTAAAAAGTTTGAGAACCACTGGAATAGACTCTCTTGAATAGAGTCTAATTCTATTGGCTTTCAAAAGCCAATAGGAATTGTCCACGCTGTCTCTGCCCTGCTGAACCCGCCAAAAGTCCCATTCTGCAAACGGTGCTGCAAGTTGTCTGCAGCGAAGGCGAGCTGTCTGCAAGTTTCCACCCCTCCCTGCTGAGCAACTACTAAAAATGTAAGTAAAAGAGGGCCAGGGGTGGGAGGTGGGAGGTCGGCGGGTGCAGGGAGGGTTGCTGGCAGGCGTGGGGCCCGGCGGGTGCCTTACCTCCCTTGGGCTGGGCCAGCTAGTGGCCCAGCCGGTGGTCGGCCTGCTCCGTCTCTGCCGCTTGCCAGCTACGCCTTGGCTGGCGCAGGGGGCGGCACCACGCATGTGCGGTGCTCCCGGGCAGGGAAAGTCCTCGACTTACAACCGGTTGGGTAGTCCTCGACTTACGACCGGTTGGGTAGTCCTCAACTTACGACCGGTTGGGGTCGCGGCATTAAAAAGGTTGAGAACCACTGCTCTAGATAAAACTAGCTAACATGTTCTACGAACAGACTAATACCTGTTTCCAGGAAAAATGGATCACTGCTTAGATCTTATTATATCAGACTGAAAAAGGGTTCATGCGCCTCTTTGCATCCACTGTTTCTTCTCCTACCTTCTGGTGCTTTGGAGAATAGGTTTTCCCCTTCTTCTTTATGGCAGTTGCTCAAATATGGGAACGGTGCTATCATGTCGCCCCTGGTCCTTCTTTTCATTAAATTGCACACACCCAATTCCTGCAACCGTTCTTCATATGTTTTAGTCTCCAGCCCCCTAATCATCCTTATTGCTCTTCTCTGCAGTCTTTCCAAGTCTCAATGTTGCAAGGTTTTGTTTTAGCAGGGGGTGCATAGTAAGATATAAAATGGATTGTTCTACTGTATATATTTATCTCTTTTGCTTCATTTTGACTCTGTCCTCTGGCTTTGTTGCTGTTTTATTTATGGCTAGAGGTTGTATGAAATAAAACTGAATGTCATTTCTTTTTTTTTCTGTCCTTCGGATAATGTCTCGTAACTATAAAAGTGAACAAAGTGATCAGTAGCTAGGTGTGCATTAAAAAAGAAAAAGAAAAGACATTGGGGTAATTACAAAATTACCTGGTTTTTAATATATAATAAAAAAGTAACTTTTCAATGAGGGAAATGTATAAATCTAGATAAATGATCAGAAATAGCTACTGTATAACTCTTATTTTGAAACCAACATACTAGGACAGTGATGGCGAACCTTTTAGAGACCGAGTGCCCAAACAGCAACCCAAAACCCACTTATATATTGTCAGGTGCTGGGCGGGTGTGGCCCATTGGGTGGGCGTGGCCCACTGGGTGGACATGGCTGCGGTGGTAACAGCAGACTGGGTGGGACTAAAAAGTTCAATCAATCAATTTCAACTTTGCGAGATCTTTTTTTTCCCCGCAAAAATTTGATATTGATTGATTGATTGAACCTTTTTTTTTTTGCACACGGCGGCGGAGGCCTAAAGCAAAAAGGTTTTATAAAACCCGGCTGAAGGCCTAGGACTGGGGCAATGGCGCGCGTGCCCACAGAGAGGGCTCTGCGTGCCACCTGTGGCACGTGTGCCATAGGTTCGCCACCATGGTACTAGGAGAATCTTTCAACCAGAAGCTGGAGGAGAATCTTATCTGGGTTTTGTCTCAAGGCAGGCTGATATCAATGTTCACATTTGCATAACTGAGTTTTCTCACTTTGAAATCACATCATCATCATCAGTCAATCATGATTATGTGATTTTATAATAAAGATTTCCTGAAGTCAATCTCAATTCTTGCTGATTTCAAGGCTGCCTTGAAGACATACACACAAAATCCTTAGAAAGAGATGCTTCAGAATGCTGTCTTTTTAAAGGCAGCCACAAACTTCTCCTAGCCTTGCACAGCTGCTTTGGAAGCTGCTCCCAGAGGTATCCACATCTGTGTGGAGGTAGATGCAACTTCCATTTACAGAGAAAAAAAGTGCTTTACAGAGAAAAAAAAAAAGTGCTGCACAGTTCAAGCTTCTAAGGCAGTGTTTCTCAATTCTAAAGGTCCCCTTCGATATGAGGTTTGTGATTTTCCTCTTAAACCAGGGTAGGCAACCTTGGCTCTTTTATGACTCATGGACTTCAACTCCCAGAATTCCTGAACCAGCCATGCTGAGGGGAAAGGAAGAGGTTTCCAAGCTGAGCCAAGCTGGCTCAGGAATTCTGGGAGTTGAAGTCCACGAGTCATAAAAGAGCCAAGGTTGCCTACCCCTGGTCTAAGGGCTATTCTAAGTGTGATTTATATAGCCTAGGGCAGGTGTAGGCCATCTTGGCTCTTTTATGACTCGTGGACTTCAACTCCCAGAATTCCTGAGCCAGCCAAGCTGAGGGGAAAGGGAGAGGTTTCCAAGCTGAGCCATGCTGGCTCAGGAATTCTGAGAGTTGAAGTCCATGAGTCATAAAAGAGCCAAGGTTGCCTAGCCCTGGACTAGATGACCTACAACAGGGGTCTTCAAACTTGGTCCTTTTATGACTGGTGGACTTCAACTCCCAGAATTCCTGAGCCAACATGACTCAGCTTGGAAACCTCTCCCTTTCCCCCCAGCATGGCTGACTCAGGAATTCTGGGAGTTGAAGTCCGCAAGTCATAAAAGAGCCAAGGTGGCCTACCCCAGCTCCAAACCAAGTTTCATCCACTTGAGGCACCAGGCTCAGCGGCCTGTATTAAAATGTTCTTTTCAGACCTACGTGGGTTTTCTCGTGAGCACTAAGGCCTGCCTTTTGACTGAACCGCTTCTCGCAGAGAGCACATTTGTAGGGTTTTTCTCCCGTATGCAGCCTTATGTGAGTCATGAGATTCCCCTTCTGGTTGAAGCCCTTCCCGCACTCGAAGCAAACAAAGGGATTTTCGCCCGTGTGGATCCGCTCGTGGATGAGAAGCCGGGATCTTTCCGGAAAGCTTTTTCCGCAGTGAACGCATTTGTACGGTTTCTCTCCGCTGTGCAGCCTCTCGTGGATGGTCAAGTAGTGTTTCTTGTTGAAACTCTTTCCGCAGTCCGGGCATCGGTACGGCCTCTCTCCCGCGTGCGCTCGGAGATGCTCTCGTAAGATTGAACGGGATCCAAAGTTTTTTCCACAATAACGGCAGTTAAACGAAGACTCTCCACCATGGATGCTCAAATGCTCCTTCAAACTTGAAGCAGAGTTGAAGCACTGATCGCAGTGGGGGCATTTTGTGCTTCCCAGACCCGTGTAAACACCCCGCTGGGTTATAAAGACCTGGGTTGACATCAAGCTGCTACTGGCCTGTGAAGACGGATATGACTTCTCGGCCATATCTGTACTGTGATGTGGGAGAAGATCCGAGCTTTGTCCAAAGTTCCCTCTGTGGTCCAATTTGGTGTGCTGTACCTCGTCGCCCAGGAACCTCTGCTGTTCTGGAGCACCGTCCAGATCATCAACACAGAAAATAGAGGGGTCCACCCTCTTTTCATGACCCATTTCTGGCACATTCCCACTTTCGCTCGGATCGTCGAAGGTTGCACCGTTCTTACAATATTGGAAATCCTTGTTGGTTTCCAGAGAAACATCCTTGGGATCTGCTTGTTCTTGTCCTTTGGGATGAATGGAGTTCGTCTCTTTCCCCCACACCTGCTCATCACCTGCAGAAAGGAAAGGGAGATTTTTATCCCGGATCTAGATATGTCACTGGAAAGCAAAATCACAAAACTGCGTCTTACTTCTTTTGGCTATGTCGTGAGGGGGACTTCACTGGAGAGTGCAACTTCCATTTACACAGAAAAAAAGTGCTTTACAGAGAAACAAAGTGCTGCACAGTTCAAGCTTCTAAGGCAGTGTTTCTCAGTCGTGGCAACTTTTAAGATATCTGGACTTCAACTCCCAGAATTCTTGGCAACAGCCACCGCTGGCTGGGGAACTGTGGGAGCTGAAGTCCAGACATCTTAAAAGTTGCCAAGGTTGAGAAACATGGGTTCGGAATTACGTTTTCCCAGATATCCAGCTGCAATTCTAAAGGTCCCCTTCAATATGAGGGTTTGTGAAGGCAGGATGTGAAGCAACGGATGGAAACTAACCAAAGAGAGAAGCAACCTAGAACTAAGGAGAAACTTCCTGAAAGTTGGAACAATTAACCAGTGGAACAACCTGCCTCCAGAAGCGGTGAATGCTCCAACACTGGACGTTTTTAAGAAGAGACTGGACAGCCATTTGTCTGAAATGGTGTAGGGTTTCCTGCCTGAGCAGGGGGTTGGGCTAGATGACCTCCAAGGTCCCTTCCAACTTTATCATTATTATTATTATTATTACACCTGCCCCAAAGCCTAGTTCTCAGACTATAAAAGAGATGGTTGGAGATTTGTACTTTTAGACTTACAAGATTCTGCTAATGTAGCCTTAAAACAAAGTACAGGTAGTCCTCAACTTACAACAACTGAGGCCAAAATTTCTGTTGCTAAGCGAGGCATTTGTTAAATGAGTTTTGCCTCACTAGTACGACCTTTTTTTGCCACGGGTTGTGAGGTGAATCGCTGCAGCTGTTAAATTAGTAACACGGTGGTTAAACACATTTGGCTTCCCGATCTGACTTTGATTGTCAGGAAGTCGCCAAAGGGGATCACATGACACTGCAGCTGTCGTAAATATGAGTTCGTTGTCAAGTGTCAGGATTTTGATCACATGACTGTGGGGAATGCTGCAACGGTTGTTAAGTGTGAAAAACGGTCACAAGTCACTTTTTTCCCCGCCACTGTAACTGTGAATGGTCATTAAATCCACTGTTGTAAATCGAGGACTATCCGTAGAGCACGTTTTAAAAACCCACCCTCTGCTCTTTGCTTTTCGCCTAAAGCAGCTTGTGTCTTTCAAAAAGACCTTTGAATTTTTAAAGGTTTTGTTCGAAAAGAGCCTGTCTTTTACTTTAGAACTCTGAAAAAAAATAGACCAAAGTCAACATGCTGGGTAAAGTTTAGGAATAAACTTTAGCATCCCCCACTTGTGGCTTTCGATGAAGAAGACCCTAGTCCAGGGGTAGGCAGCCTTGGCTCTTTATGACTGGTGGACTTCAACTCCCAGAATTCCTGAGCCAGCCATGCTGAGGGGAAAGGGAGAGGTTTCCAAGCTGAGCCAGGCTGGCTCAGGAATTCTGGGAGTTGAAGTCCACGAGTCATGAGGAGGCCATAGTTCCCCCATGCTGGCTCAGGAATTCTGGGAGTTGAAGTCTACAAGTCATAAAAGAGTCAAGGTTGTCTACCCCTGAAGTAGACTATAAAATAGTAGTTGGAGGTCATCTAGTCCAATGTCCTTCTTGAGCGGGAGACCTTATACCATGGGTAGGCAGCCTTGGCTCTTTTATGACTGGTGGACTTCAACTCCCAGAATTCCTGAGCCAGCCACGCTGAGGGGAAAGGGAGAGGTTTCCAAGCTGAGCCATGCTGGCTCAGGAATTCTGGGAGTTGAAGTCTACGAGTCATAAAAGAGCCAAGGTTGCCTACCCCTGGCCTATATCATTTCAGAGAAGTGACTGTCTAGGCCAGTGGTTCTCAACCTTTCTAATGCCGTGACCCCATAATACAGTTCCCCATGTTGTGGTGACCCCCAAGTGGGTGTGGCCACCAATAAGAGGGAGTAGGTCAGCTAGGGAAAAGGGAAAAAAATGGCGGACAACGTGGTTTGGCGACCCCCGTGAAATGGTCTTTCGACCCCAAATGGGGTCCCGACCCACAGGTTGAGAACCACTGGTCTAGGCCAAGGGTCTTTAAACTTGGCCCTTTTATGACTCATGGACTTCAACTCCCAGAATTCCTCAGCCAGCCACGCTGAGAGGAAAGGGAGAGGTTTCCAAGCTGAGCCAGGCTGGCTCAGGAATTCTGGGAGTTGAAGTCCACCAGTCATAAAAGAGCCAAGGCAGCCTACCCCTGCGCCTAGTCCAAAATCTTTGGGTCATGGCTGCAACAGGACAAAAGGAATTGGTGTGAACCCTTCCAAGAGACACGGAACCTTACTCAGCCATGTTGCCTCCTTGCTCTCGCCTTCCTTGCTGTCTCTGCTGAGCTGGGCAGCCCAGTAATCCAGAGCTTGTCCTGTCTCAGAAGGTTCCATAGCCTCCTCTGAAGGTGGCACCTAAAAGAGCAGCCAGGAGAGAATTAATTGAGGAGGGGAGACTTGAACGCAGGGAGGGGACCAATGTCCAGAGATCCGTGAGCTTTTTTCCATTTAGGATGAATGAAGAGAACAGTGGTTCTCAACCTGTGGGTCGGGACCCCATTTGGGATCGAACGACCATTTCACGGGGGTCGCCAAACAACGCAGTCCGCCATTTTTTTCCCCTTTTCCTTAGCTGTGCTACTCCCTTTTATTCTATTGGCTTTTGAAAGCCAATAGAATAGACTCTCTTGAATAGAGTCTAATTCTATTGGCTTTCAAAAGCCAATAGGAATTGTCCAGGCTGTCTCTGCCCTGCTGAGCCTGCCAAAAGTCCCATTCTGCAAACGGTGCTGCACCAGTTGAGTAGTCCTTGACTTACGACCGGTTGAGTAGTCTTCGACTTACGACCAGTTGGGGGTTGCGGCATTAAAAAGGTTGAGAACCATTGCCATTCTGGATACAGGTAGTCCTCGACCTACGGCTACAACTGAGCCCAAATTTATGTTGCTAAGCGAGAAATTTGTTAAATGAGTTTGTTAAGTGAATCACTGCAGTTGTGAAGTTAGTAACACGGTTGTTAAGTGAATCTGGTTTCCTCGTGGACTTTGCTTGTCAGAAAGTTGCACAAGGGGATCACATGATCCCGGGACACTGCGACTGTCATAAATGTGAGTCAGTTGTCAAGCATCCGAAGGCAAATCACGTGACCGTGGGTAAGATGCAAATGTCGTAAGTGTGAAAAATGGTCATAAGTCACTCTTTTCACTGCTGTTGTAACTTGGAATGGTCACTAAGCAATCTGTTGTAAGTCGAGGACTACTTGTATAAAGAGAGAGACTTTGATCAGATGGTCGCAACTACCATTTTGCCTCTTGTAACACCTCCACCTCCCCCTACTTCAGGGTCCTCAAATCCTCCCACCTTTGGTTCCAGTTTCTCAGCCTCTTCCTGCTTCAACAGGAAGTCCTCAGCCATGGCCACCGCCTGGGTGCAACTGCCAGGTTTCCGTTCCCTGACCCAAATTTGCATGTCCGTCGGCAGGATGCTGAGAAACTGCTCCAGGACCAGCAGTTCCAAGATCTCATCCTTGGTGTGTCTCTCGATTTTCAGCCACCGGCAGCCGAGCGCTCGTAGTTGCCCATAAATGCCTCTCGGCCCTTCCATATCCTGGTAGCGGAGCTGCCGGAAATGCTGGCGCTGTTTCTCCCGGGCGGCGGCCTCTTCTTCCAAGATGGCTGCCTTCACCTTCTCGTAGTTTGCCTTCTCTTGAGCATGGAGGCCGCTGAAGGCTTGCTCGGCCTCTCCGCTCAGGGCTGGCCGGAGAAAGGTCACCCACTTGTCCCGAGGCCATCGGCAAGCAGTTGCCACTTGTTCAAAGGAGGCCAAGAAAGCTCTGGCATCTTCCCAGGGACTGAACCGTTCGGACATCTGAGAAGTCCCACACTCCAAGTCTGGTGCCTGCAGGGTCCTGAGGAACTCCTGCCATTGGGTCTCCCAGAGGTCTTGCAAACCTTCGGTGGGTTCCTGCTTCACATGATGTGATGGGGCCTCCATCAGAAGCTCTTCAGAGCCACTCATCTGTGCAGCCACTGGGGCTTTGGGAAGACCCTCCATCCTTTCCCAAGCACCAGGTCCTGTGGCTTCCTGCTCATCCATCTTGGAAAAACAGGATGCTATCTTTTTCTTCCAACCGTCTTGTCTTCTAGTCTCCCAGCACTTCTTCTAAAGGTGGCACCGATCAGTCGGCTGGGGAATAACACGAGGTTCTCTAAACAACCTGCATGGGAAAGAAAAGAGTCATGGAATCTATAGATAGTCCTTGCTTACTGATCGCTGATTTTATGACCAGTCCCTGCAGTTACATGATCACGATTTGGGCATTTGGCACTGCCGTGATTCACTTAATGGCTGCAGCTGGAACTGACACTATAAGCCGAGTATGGTCATGTGACATTTCACTATATCAGGGGGTCTTCAAACTTGGTCCTTTTATGACTTGTGGATTTCAACTCCCAGAATACCTCAAGCAGCGTGCCTGGGAGTTGAAGTCCACAAGTCATAAAAGGGCCAAGTTTGAAGACCCCTGCACTATATGATTGTATTGCTTAGCAACGGAGTTGCCAGTCCAAACCGCAGGCTGTAAGTGAACAAAAATCATGAATACAAACAAAAGGGAGTCAAGCTATTCTCCAAATCACCTGAGGGCAGGATGAGAAGCAACGGATGGAAACTAATCGAGGAGAGAAGCAACCTAGAACTAAGGAGAAATTTCCTGACAGTTAGAACAATAAATCAGTGGAACAACCTGCCTCCAGAAATTAAGGATGCTCCAACACTGGAAGTTTTTAAGAAGAGACTGGACAACCATTTGTCTGAAATGGTATAGGGCTTCCTGCCTGAGCAAGGGGTTGGACTAGAAGACCTCCAAGGTCCCTTCCAACTATTTATTCTATTCTATTCTTATTCTATTCTTATTCCATTCTATTCTCAAAAGGTCTGAAGACTTCCTGATTCAGCAGTTTATCATAATTTGATAGTGAGGCAATTGTAAGGTTTTCTTTTCTCTTTTCTTTGACATGTAAGCCAGTGTTAGCTAGGTGCAAGATGCCATTTTCTGTTGTGACAATGTGATGAAAAATTTAACACATAACCTGTATACTGTGGTTAATCTATGTCCAGTTACCTTAAACATGTATTTGAGAAGACCCCTGAGAATACTGTGGACAGCCAAGAAAACAAACTGATGGATCACAGAACAAATTAAACCAGAATTCTCACTTGAGGCACAAATGACCAGACCTAAATTCCTTTGGACACATTATGTGGAGATCCAGTTCTCCCAAGAAGACTTTGACGCTGGGAAAGATGGAAGGAAAGAGAACGGGACAACCAACACCAAGGGGGATGGACCTGGTTACAATGGCAATGAGGACACAATTGGAAGACCTGAAAAAACAGGTTAGGGATAAAGTGATAATTTGTCCAATATGATAATCCATTATTTCAGAAAGCTATCCCTTAGATTTATTTTTTATTTTTCTTGGCTTTGCTCTTGCATTTTTCCTGTAAACATAAACATTTGTTTAATCTTTATGGATCTCTTTTAAATTTGCCACCTTTTCAGATTTGTCCTCCCCCCACCAATACAATTACTGTAGGGATAGGTCATGGGTAGGCAACCTTGGCTCTTTTATGACTCATGGACTTCAACTCCCAGAATTCCTGAGCCAGCCATGCTGAGGGGAAAGGGAGAGGTTTTCAAACTGAGCCAAGCTGGCTCAGGAATTCTGGGAGTTGAAGTCCACAAGTCATAAAAGAGCCAAGGTTGTCTACCCCTGGGATAGGTCATCATGGTGAAAATCTACATATGTGTTGCTAGGAGTCCAAAAAAAAAAAGACTTAATAGCACATATCAAATCAAAAACTCCAAATATTATTTCTAGGGTACCGAAAATCAGAGACTGGCTATAAAGGGCAGATCGATACATCTATAAAACGAAAGGCAGGTGTGCTATCTCACAATTTCCTAAAAGAACCTCCAGATCCAACTGCAAACTACCATAAAGTTTCTGATGCAAAGAATGCATACTTTCCTAGATGGCCACTCTTCTCTGCAGTGTTTCTTCCCGTTCCACCCCAGCAGCATTTTCTCTCCAGTCGCCTCCGTTTTTCTTTCTAATAGCCTCTCTTGGAATACTTCTCGTTCTTCTCCAGCCACAACGTTCCCCCGTTTTCAGTCACTCACTTCTCCCTGCACTGCACTGCCTCCGCCCTCTAAGCTTCCATAGAGGATAAAAGTGTCGCCAAAGCTAAGAAGATTCAGGACTTCTATTCAAAAGTGAGATTCCCACCAGGAAGAGGTGGGGAAAAGGGCACCGGAAGTGGCTTCACCTCTTCTTCTACACGGCACTTCCGGTAATTTTTCGCCAAGCAAAGGGAGAACGAGGAGGGTCTCCTTTGCCCCTCTAGGAGAGTTCAACTCAATGGAATTAACCCTTTTGGGGAATCTCTGAAATAACACCATATAGCAGGGCTTTTCAACCTTTTCGTCCATTGTACCACTTTTAGGATATGGCAACATCCGAGTACCACCAGTCGCCTAGCAAGGTGTCAAAAACCTGATGACCCCCCCACAAAAGGAAAAAAGTGATGAAGTACAGGTAGTCCTCGACTTACAACAGTTCGCTTAGTGACTGTTCGAAGTTACAATGGCACTGAAAAAAGTGCCCCCCAAGCCACAGCTGAGGAAGACACCTGCCTGCCCGCCCAGCGGCGCTCTTCCTCCTGTCCGAGGTTTCCATTGTTGTGAGCATTTCTGCTGAGGATTGGCAGCGGGGGTGGGGTGGGGGGTGTTTGGTTTTTATTCCCCCCCTGTCTGCTGGGTGGTTGTAGCAGGTTTTGGTCACTTCACATGACCCTGGGACACTGTGACCATCATAAATATGAATCAGTTGCCAAGCATCTAAATGTAAATCACAAGACCCTGGAGATGCTGCAACATTCCAGCTGATTGGCGCTTCTTCTGGGCTGAGCAGAAGCGCCAGGATCAGTGCTGCTTTCCAGCTGATTGGTGCTTCTTCAGGGCTCAACAGAAGCATCAGGATCAGCGCCGAGCTCCAACTGGAGCCTGGCGCTGATCCTGGCGCTTCCACTGAGCCCTGACAGCCCCAAAGAAGCGCCGATCAGCTGGAAAGCGGCACTGATCCTGGCGCTTCCGCTGAGCCCTGACAACCCTGCAGCTCCAGCCATCTCTCGCTCAGGCTTGTGCGGTGCTGCCACCGGTTCAGCTCATTCCCCTCCCCAGCTACTTTTCTAGGATGGTCGCGTACCACCTGCCAGGTGCCAATGTACCACAGGTGGTACCCGTACCACTGGTTGAAAAGCCCTGCCATATAGTACAGTGATGGCAAACCTTTTAGAGACTGAGTGCCCCAAAACTGGCCCCGCCCTGCTCCACCCCCCTGCCCCACCCCCGCTCTGCCCCCCCCATCCCCTGCCCCGCCTGCCCACAGGACCACTCACTGCCTCCAGGGCCCGCTGCAGATCGCCCAGGCAGTCCAGCAGTGCTATGGTGGCCACACACTCTCCACGCGCCCTGCAACATCAACTGCATGATGGGGCATGAGGGCAGAGTCTTGTCTATGCCGCCTGGTTGCCATTTCCTTGGCTGCGCTGCTCCGTGGGAGCCACACTCGGAGGGGACTCTCCTTCAGGGGGGTGCTGGAGAGGGGGGGGTCGCGGGGGAGGTAAGGCTGGGGCAACAGCACGTGTGCCCACAGAGAGGGCTCCGAGTACCGCCTCTGGCACCCGTGCCATAGGTTCGCCACCACTGCCGTAGTAGTTGGTGCTTTTTTTTAATCCTCAAGTAATAAATGAAATACAGGTAGTCCTCGATTTACAACAGTGCATTTAGCGACCGGTCAAAGTTACATCGGCACCGAAAAATGTGACTTGCGACCGCTTCTCACAGTTATGACCTTTGCAGCATCCCCATGCTCATATGATCGAAATTCAGCCCCTTGGCAACTGGTTCGTACTTATGACCGTTGCTGTGTCCCCAGGTTCTGTGATCACCTTTGGCCACCTTCTCACAAGCCAAGTCAATGGGGAAGCCAGATTCACTTAACAACCGGGTTCCTGACTTATCAACTGCAGTGATTCACTTAACAACGGTGGCAAGAAAGGTCGCAAAATGGGGCAAAACTCTTTAAACAAATGTCTCACTTAGCAACAGAAATTTTGTGTCGTAAATTGAGGACTACCTGTACTACGGGAATTCCAAGTAGAGTTAAACTATTATGGAGCAAAATGGGAGAGAGTGTGCCTCTCCCGGATCAGCCCAGTGACTTCTCCCCACCACCCACCTGGGAATCCCAAAAGAGCAGAACTCTAGGAAGGGGGAATTCTCCTTCCGGATCAAAGGGTGGCAGGAGGACTAGAAAAGATTTTGGGGGAATCCCTTCCTCTCTAGGAATCATCTATGGTTCCTTAACTCTTGGAAGGCCATGCAGCTGGTTTTTAGCCCTGGAGTGTTCGAGCAGAGCCCCGATGGCACCAAGAGGAAGGGAAGAATATGTGGTGTGATGGTAGTTGTGTTATCTTGCTTCATTGTGGACCACAGTGATGTAATTGTACAGCCAAAATAGCCACCTCTGCTTGGAGGAAGCATAGATTGATTTGTCTATGGCAGGGGTGTCCAACTGCCGGCCCACAGGTTGGATGAGTCACGACGAAACTGCGCCTAACCCATTGCTGGTAATGGCAGAAAAAAAAGTTGCGATACGTTGCGACGTGTCACATGACGTTGTGAGTTTAACACCCCTGGTCTATGGAGATTCTCTATCAGCCAAATCACAGTTGTCCCAAAGGCGCTTTTTCAAAAGGCAACTGGGCTTTGTTTTTGCTTGAAGACGTTTCACTTCTCGTCCGAGAAGCTTCTTCAGTTCTGGATAAACATTCTGAATCATTCAGAACTGAAGAAGCTTCTTGGAAGAGAAGTGAAAGCTCTTCAAGCAAAAACAAAGAAAGTCCAGTTGCCTTTTGAAAAAGCACCTTTGGGACACAGATTGATTTGAACTGCAGGCTTGAGTCTTGTGCTGTATTGGAGAGATTGGGGGGGAGGGGGAGCCACAACAAGAATTGAATCTCCAGAAATACCACATGAACATATAATAATAATAACAATAATAAAGTTGGAAGGGACCTTGGAGGTCATTTAGCCCAACCCCCTGCTCAGGCAGGAAACCCTATACCATTTCAGATGAATGGCTGTCCAGTCTCTTCTTAAAAACTTCCAGTGTTGGAGCATTCATCGCTTTTGGAGGCAGGTTAATTGTTAATTGTTCTAACTGTCAGGAAATTTCTCCTTAGTTCTAGGTTGCTTCTCTCTTTGGTTAGTTTCATCCGTTGCTACTTGTCCTGCCTTCAGGCGCTTTGGAGAATAGCTTGACTCCCTCTTCTTTGGGCAGCCCCTGAGATACCGGAACACTGCTATCCTGTCCCCCCTCGTCCTTCTCTTCATTAGACTAGACCAGGGGTAGGCAACCTTGGCTCTTTTATGACTCGTGGACTTCAACTCCCAGAATTCCTGAGCCAGCCATGCTGAGGGGAAAGGGAGAGGTTTCCAAGCTGAGCCATGCTGGCTCAGGAATTCTGGGACTTGAAGTCCATGAGTCATAGAAGAGCCAAGGTTGCCTACCCCTGGACTAGACATACCCAATTCCAGCAACTGTTCCTTATATGTTTTAGCCTACCCCTGGACTAGACATACCCAATTCCAGCAACTGTTCCTTATATGTTTTAGCCTCCAGTCCTCTGATCATCTTTGTTGCTCTTCTCTGTACTCTTTCTAGAGCAGTGATGGCGAACCTTTTAGAAACCTAGTGCCCAAAAACCGGCCCGCCCCCGCTCTGCCCCCAGCTCCGCCTGCCCGCAGGGCCTCTCACCACAAATTACCCAGGCAGCCTTGCAGCATCATGGCGGCCACGCCCTCCACCCATACCCCGCAGTATCATCTGCAAGTAATGGGGCATGAGGGCGGAGTCTTACCCTTGCTGCCTGGCTGCCATGTGCTTATCTGTGCTGCTCCATGTGGGCTGTGCCTGGGGGGGGGCTCTCCTCCGGGTAGGCTGCTGCTGAGGAGGGGGCTATGGGGGGAGGCGGGGCTGGGGCAATGGTGCGGGTGCCCACAGAGAGGGCTCTGAGTGCCACCTGTGGCATGCGTGCCAGAGGTTCGCCACCACTGTTCTAGAGCAGTGGTTCTCAACCTGTGGGTCGGGACCCCATTTGGGGTCAAACGACTATTTCACGGGGGTCGCCAAACAACGCAGTCCGCCATTTTTTCCCCCTTTTCCTTAGCTGTGCTACTCCCTTTTATTCTATTGGCTTTGGAAAGCCAATAGAATAGACTCTCTTGAATAGAGTCTAATTCTATTGGCTTTCAAAAGCCAATAAGAATTGTCCAGGCTGTCTCTGCCCTGCTGAGCCCGCCAAAAGTCCCATTCTGCAAACGGTGGTGCACCAGTTGAGTAGTCCTTGACTTACGACCGGTTGGGGTCGCGGCATTAAAAAGGTTGAGAACCACTGTTCTAGAGTCTCAACATCGTGGTGACCAAAACATGGTTCCTCAAAGTACCACAACCACCCACAAGTTTACCTTCGCTCACTATGTTTCGGGGAGGACTTTCAAAAGTTGCAGATTTTAGTGTAAAATGTTACTTTTGTCAGACCTGCCTCAGCTTGAATCTCTAAGTAAGAGCGACCCTTAACTCCATTTGCTGAGAAAGGTATAGTTTACTAGAAGTCAAGGGCATAACTGTAATTCACTTGGCTTCTAGTAAACTATACCTTTGTCAACAAATGAAATTAAGAATTGTTCTCACTTAGAGTTTCAAGCTGAGGCAGGTCTGACAACTTTCTTTTACAAGGCCTCGGGAAAATATCCCACCTCTGGGTTTTTTGCCTTCAAATGTCTCCATCAGCCAGCATTCAGCTATTTTTATTGAATGCTTTCCTGGAAATTTATTTTTTTAAGAATCAAGTAAAAGGGGGGGGGGAAAGCCTGAAACATATTTATTATTTAAAATGACATATGTGCCCCATCATTTTGGGGAACATCAGGGTGGTGTACAGCCAACTTCATCATGTACAAATACAATAGAAAAGAGCACCATTCAAATATATATACATAATATATATATTGGTCTTTGGTTATTCGGGTTTTCTCCCGTGCCAATTGGAAGGCTCATTCGTCATCTTCAGGCTGGTGTTTTCGGCTTCGTGCTTCTAGGAGCACGAAGCCGAAAACACCAGCCTGAAGATGACGAATGAGACTTCGTCAAAACGTTGCCAAAACACTTCCAATTTGACACGGGAGAAAACCTGAATAACATACAAACACCCGCGAAAACCTCAGAAAACAAATTATATATACATATACACACACACATACATACATATATAAACAAGCAACAATTAAATTAACCTGTGATTAAAACTACTTTTGCTGCATGTCAGAACATTGTAATGTGATGACCAAAATTGTTCTAAGGAAGTGAGACAGAATTGAAGGAATGGAATGGAATAGAATGGAATGGAATAGAATAGAATAGAAATCTGGAAGGGAAGTCTTCTAGTCCAGCCCCCTGCTCAATCCAGAGAACCTATATCATCTCAGATAAGTGACTGTCTAGCCTCTTTTTAAAAAATCTCCAGTGATGGAGTGCCCATGATTTCTGGAGACAAGCTGTTCCACTGGTTAATTGTCCTCACTGTCAGGAAGTTTCTCCTTAGTTCCAGGGTGCTTCTCTCTTTGACCAGTTTCCAACCAGTGTTTCTTATCCTGCCTTCTGGTGCTTTGGTGAATAACGTGAGCCCCTCTTCTTTGTAGCAGCCCCTCAAATACTGTAATACTGATATCATTTCTTGTTTTATTTAGACCAACCCTAAGTCCTGCAGCTGTTCTTCATGTTTTAGTCTCCAGCCCTTTGATCATCTTAGTTGTTCTTCTCTGCATTTTTTTCCAAACTCTCAACATATTTTTTGTGATATGGTGATCAAAATTGACTACAGTGTTCCAGGTGTGGTCTTACTATAAAGCAGTACTAATACTTTGCGTTATCTTAGTTTTATGCCTCTGCTTATACAACCCAGAATTGTATTAGCTTTTTTGGCTGCTGCTGCACACTGCTGGCTCATGGTTAAGTGATGGTCCACTAGGACTCCAAGATCCTTCTCACAATTACTGCTTTTAAGCTAGGTCTTGCCCAAACTGTACTTGTACCTTTGATTTTTCCTGCCTAAATGTAAAACTTTGCTTTTCTCCACATTGAAATTTTGTTGGATAGGGCCCATTGTTCAAGTTTGTCTAGATCAGGGGTCGGCAACCTTAAACACTCAAAGAGCCATTTGGACCAGTTTCAAAGAGAAAAGAAAACACTGGGGGGGGGGGAGCTTGATTGAAAAATTTAATTAAAAAGAAATAGAGGTTGCTGTGCATGAGTTCTCTCTCCCCCTTCCCCCCTCTCTCTCCCCCCTTCCTCTTCTGCTCACCTGCAAGCTGGCTTCATGCTGTTCTTTGACAAGCTGACACACATTCTTATGGGGCTGGCTCTCTCCTGCCCTTGGTCTGCCAGTCCTCTTCCCCCACTCAGTGTGTTTGTGTGTGTGTGTGTGTGTGTGTGTGTGTGAGAGAGAGAGAGAGAGAGAAGAGAGCTGCTGTTTCCTGCTTAGACGCAGCAAAGGCAGGAGCCCCATCCAATATGTTTGTCAGCTTGTCCAAGAACAGCGTGAGGCCACTCTTTTTTAGAGAGAGAGAGAGAGAGAGAGAGAGAGAGAGAGAGAGAGAGAGGGAGAAAGGAAGCACAAGTGCCTCTGTCTCTGTCTCTCTGCAAATAGCGGAGGAGGCTGGGAGCTTCAGGAGAAGGCTCAAAGAGCCATATGTGGCTCTGGAGCCGTGGGTTGCTGACCCGTGGTCTAGTTTTTGGATCCTGAATTTGTCTTCTGGGATGTTGGCTACTCCTGCCAGTTTGGTGTCATCTGTAAATTTGATGAGTTCCCCTTCAATTCCCTCATCTAAGTCATTGATGAAGATATTGAAGAGTACTTGGCCTAAGACAGAACCTTGTGGTACCCCACTGCTTACTTCTCTCCATGTGGATGTAGTGCCATTGAGGACTATTCATTGAGTACAGTTTCCCAGCCAGCTACAGATACATCTGGTGGTGATGTTGTCTATTCCACCCTTTTCTAGCTTACCAATGAGTAGGTTGTGGTCTACTTTATCAAATGCTTTACTAAAGTTTAAGTATACTATGTCCACAACATTTCGTTGGTCTATTAGTTTAGTCACTTTGTTGAAGAATGAAATAAGATTGGTTTGGCATGATCTGTTTTTAACTAACCAGTGCTGGCTACTAGTTATAACTATATTTGCTTCTAGTTGTTTGCAGATCAGTTTTTGCTTATCTTTTCTAGGATCTTTCCATGTATTGATGTTAAACTGATTGGTCTGTAGTTTCATGGGTCTGTTTTTTCCCCTTTCTTGAAGATGGGAACCACATCAGCCCTTTTCCAATCCTCAGATACTTCCCCGGTGCTCTTCGGATTTTTGAAAGATGTGTTGCAATGGTTCTGAGATAACATTTGCCAGCTCCTTCAGAATTCTGGGATGTAACCTGTCAGGCCCCAGATTACATCCCAGATATTCATCAAGGTTGGATAGGTGTTCGCTTACCATTTTCTTGCTTATTTTAATTTTTGTTTCTAATTTGTCTTTTGCAGTGGGGTTTTTTTTTTTTTTGGTTGGGCTATGGTTTCTTTTTGTGTGAAGACTGATACAAAGTATGAGTTAAGCAGCTCTGCTTTCTTTCTGTTGCCTGTTATTTACTTGCCATCTTCTCTCTTTAGTGGACCTACAGTTTCCTTGACTTTTTTCTTGTTAATATGTTGGAAGAAACTTTTTATTATCCATGATTTCGGTTGCATGTTTTTGTTCGTTCTGAACCTTTGCTTTCCTGACATCTTTGCATGTTCTGGCTGTCTGCTGATAAATGGCCTTAGTTATGTACCCCTCTTTCCATTTTTTTTGTATTTGTCCTTTTTGTCTTTGTTTGTCAGAGAGATATTTGTGTAGCCATGCTGGTTTCTTCTTGAATTTCTTGTTTTTCTTTTTCAGTGGTATTGTGCTGGTCTGGGCTTTTATGATCACATTTTTGAAAGATTATGGATGGTATAAGGAGAAAAATGTAGTCCAAGGTGAATAATGTCAAATTATTGTCAAAGTTGTAGATGTGTATACTTCTTTGTGTGTACGTATGTGCTTACATGTACACTGTCTTTCCCTAATTGAAATGTCATTTTTTTCTAGAAACAATTTGTAAACATTTTTCAACAGTTTAAATCAGATTTTCAACGGACAATTTGACAGAGATAATCTCTTCTCTTCTACATTCTTCTAAAGGTACACACTGAGGTACTGAGGAATGTGTACATTACACCCACCCACCCACACACACACACACATACATACACAAGGTTCCTAAAAGATCTACTATCTGCATTGTCTCAATTGTTCACTGTATATATTCATAGTACTTTAATTAAAAAAAACTTGATTGCTTTGTAGATTTCCATAGCACCTTTCTTCAAATGCCTTCCTCCTTTAAACTTCATTTTCCTGAGGAGAAAAAGTCAGAATACTTTAGCTTTCAACTTGAAGATGGGTGGATTTCAACTCTCAGAATTCCCTACCTGGCTAAGGAATTCTGGGAGCTGAAGTCCATACATCTTTAAACTTGCCAAGGTTGAGAAAGACGAAGTAGACCAGGCAACTGAGAATATTACAGGGGTGTGGAGAAATGAAGAATGAGATCTTTTCCTAGAATTTAAGATAGTGATGGCGAACCTTTTAGAGACCGAGTGCCCAAAAACTGGCCCCGCCCCACTCCACTCCCTGGTCACCATGCCAAATAAAGAGCTAGTAAATGGATCAGCTTCTCAAAATTCCTTTCTGGATAAGGAAGAAGACTTGGGATGACTCATATATGCTCTATTACAGCCTTCCATTAGGTGACTGTAAAACAACAGTTTCTGAAAGATTTACAATTATAGGAGCTGAAGAATTGCATTCTTGCCCAAGATTCAATTGGAGCCTTCAAACAGATCCTGGACTCCATACTTCACTTCTGAGAATTACTATAATAATAATAATAATAATAATAATAATAATAATAATAATAATAATAGTAGTAGTAGTAGTAGTAGTAGTAGTAGTAGTAGTAAAGTTGGAAGGAACCTTGGAGGTCATCTAGTCCAACCCCTGCTTAGGCAGGAAACCCTACACCACTTCGGACAAATGGCTGTCCAGTCTCTTCTTAAAAACTTCCCTGCCCTGCCCCCACTCTGCCCCCACCTCGTCCCCTGCCCTGCCTGTCCGCAGGGCCACTCACCACCTCCAGGGCCCACCGCAGATCGCCCACGCAGCCCAGCAGTGACATGGCAGTCACGCCCTCTGCCTGCGCCCCGCAGCATCAACTGTGCGCGATGGGGCGTGAGGGCAGAGTCTTGTCCACGCTGCCTGGCTGCCATGTCCTTGGCTGTGCTGCTTCGTGTGGGCCACGCTCGGGGCTGACTTTCCTCCAGGGGGGGCTGCTGGTGAGGAGGGGGTCGCGAGGCTGGGGCAATGGCACGTGTGCCCACAGAGAGGGCTCCGAGTGTCGCCTCTGGCACCCGTGCCACAAGTTCGCCACCACTGGTCTAAGATAACAACAGGGTATTCTTAATCTATATTGAAAATATAGAATCTGCTATCCAAAGATGTTATTTACCCTTACATGAAGGGCAATTTGCAAAAAATGCGGTCAAATGAATGAACAAGACAATGAAAATTAACAAGACCAAAATGTAATAAAAATCATCGCTAGAATGAGAGACTACGCATTGCTGGGGGAATTTGAGTAAAAGGTGTGATTCTTCCCATGATCGCCTGCTTCCTCTGAATTTTTGCCTGAGAATCAAAATTTAATTTGAAGGAGTTCCAAACTAATCATTTATCTGGTTTTCCCACATGTCAGTTGATTGATAAGCAATTTTTCCTCCTAGCAAAGTTTATTGACAACTCGCCTGTCATTTATAATATCTCTACCTTGTGTGCATTTTTTTGATGCCTGGTCAGGTTTTTCTTATGACTGAAACTTTTCCCACATCCTAGGCAGGTGTATTTTTCCCCTGTGTGAATGCTCTGATGCTGGAAAAGGTTGGTACGCTGGCTGAAACTCTTCCCGCACTCCGAGCATTTATAGGGTTTCTCTCCAGTGTGAATTCTTTGATGTTTGGTGAGGTCTATTTTCTGACTGAAACATTTCCCACATTCCGAGCACGTGTACGGCTTCTCCCCGGTGTGGATTCGGTGGTGCCTAGAGAGGTTCTTCTTATGATTAAAGCTCTTGCCGCATTCCGAGCACTTGTATGGCTTCTCCCCGGTGTGAATCCTTTCGTGAGAACTGAGGATGATTTTGTGACCAAAGTTTTTCCCACAGACCAAGCAGGAACACTCGTTCCCACCTGCGTGAATGAGCTGGTGATTCCGGAGCCCCGTGCTCCGACTAAAAGTCTTCCCACACTGAAGACACCTGTGCAGTTTTGGCTTTTGGAACATGGGTTGGTGAGCAGCGAGATACGTAGTTGCGTCGTCACGTTCCAAAAAGGAGGAAACTTTCTCTTCCGAATGAGTTCTATAATGCTTCATGAGCAGGATTTTCTGAGGGAAGCTCTTTTCGCATTCTAAGCATTTGTACGGCTTCCCCTCGGTGTGTGTCCTTTCGTGGTAAGTCAGAGCAGTCCGGTAACTGAAGCTCCTCCCGCCCATCAAACACGCGTACGACTTCTCCCCTGTGTGAATTCTTTGGTGAGTGGCGAGATTTGTCTTCTGGCCAAAACCCCATTTATAAGGTTTCTCGCCCGTGTGAGTCCTCTGATGTTTTGTCAGGCCCGTATTCTGGCTAAAACTCTTCCCGCACTCCCGACACCGATAGGGTTTCTCTCCCGTGTGAATTCTCTGATGAGAAATGAGATTTATTTTGTGACTGAAAGTCTTCCCACCAAGCACTGATAGGGTTTCTCCCCGGTGTGAATTCTCCGATGGGACGTGAGATTGATCTTTTTCCCGAAGCTCCTGCCACACTCTAAGCATTCGTGCGGCTTCTCGCCCGTATGGATTTGTCTATGCTTGGTGAGGCTCGAACTCTGGCTGAAGCTCTTTCCGCACTCGAGGCATCTGTACGGTTTCTCACCCGTGTGAATTCGCTTGTGCTTAATGAGGCTGGAGCTCTGACTGAAGCTTTTTTCGCACTCCAAGCATTTGTACGGTTTTTTTCCCCCATGTGAATTCTTCGGTGAGAGGTAAGATTTATCTTATAACCAAAACTTTTTCCGCACTCCAAAAACACATATGATTTTGTCCTCATCGGATGTTCTTTTATTCTATATCGGTCACGTCCTGGAATAAAGAGAAGAAATTCAGAGATAAGATTGGATGACCTATTGAGATGAGATTTAGAAATGTACATTTGTTAGATTTTTTAGCCCACCTTTATTACTTTATAACTAACCCACGGGTCGGCAACCCACAGCTCCAGAGCCGCATATGGCTCTTTGAGCCTTCTCCTGCGACTCCCAGCCTTCTCTGCCATTTGCAGAGAGAGAGACAGAGACAGAGAGAGGCACTTGTGCTTCCCTTCTCCCTCCCTCCCTCTTTCTCTCTCTCTCTCTTTCTCTCTCTGTGTGTGTATAAAAAAGAGAGTGGTCTCACACTGTTCTCGGACAAGCTGACAAGCTTATTTGGCGGGGCTCCTGCCTTTGCTGCGTCTCAGCAGAAAACAGAAAGCAGGAAGCAGCAGTTCTCTGTCTCTGTCTCTCTCTCTCTCTCTCTCTCTCTCACACACACACACACACTGAGTGGGGGAACAGGACTGGCAGACCAAAAGCAGCAGAGAGCCAGCCCAATAAGAATGTGTGTCAGCTTGTCCGAGAACAGCATGAAGCCAGCTTGCCAGGAGAGAAGATCAAAGAGAGGGAGGGGGGAGAGAGAGAGGGAGGGAGGGAGACAAAGAGAGGGAGGGAGGTAGAGAGAGAGAGAACTCATGCACAGCCTCTCTTTCTTTTTAATTAAATTCTTCAGTCAAGCTCCTCCCCATGTGTGCGTGTGTTTTCTCTGGGAAATGGGTTCAAGTGGCTCTTTGAGTGTTTAAGGTTGCCGACCCCTGAACTAACCCAAGGCAGAAGACATGGTTAATACTCCTTTCTCCTCCTAATTTGCTCTACCACCATCAATCTGTGAGGTGAGTTGGGGCTAAGAGTCAGTAGCTGGCACAAAGTCACCCAGCTGGCTTTCATGGCTAAGGCAGAAATAGAACTCATGGCCTCTTGCTTTCTAGCCTGATGCCTTAACCACTAGATCAAGTTGCTGTGCCAGACTAGTGCTATTTTATATGATGCAATGTATCCTATCTCAGGGGTCCCCAACCCCTGGGCTGCGGCCTACTAGTGGGCCGCGAGCTATTTGCAACCAGCCTGCAGAAACGGTGAGTGCGCATATTCCCCTATGCGTCCCCACTTGCACAAGCAGTGGGCGAGCGTGTGTATGCACGCTCCGTTTGTGTGAGGGGCGTGCACGGGTGACGTCGCTTGTGCAAATAGAGTTGCGTGCACGCTTGCTGGCCGCTTGTGCAGAACCATCCCCTCTTCCCCCCCCCTCCATCGCTGGTCCCCAAAGCTGGTCCCGTTTGGGGAACTCTGCCCTATCTGTGGTCTCACAGGAACTGTCTTAAAATGCTACCTTTATGATTATGCACCAATGAAGGAAAGAGGGAGCCTTACTGAGAGAAGTCAGGATTTCAAAATTCTCTTCCATGATTTGCTTATAGAGAGCTTTCTGGTCAGGATTCAACAGAAGCCACTCTTCCTCAGTGAAATACACAGCCAGCTCTTCCACAGTGGCCAGATCCTGATTGAAAAAGAAAAAAAAAAACCATTGTAAGAATATACACAGTGCATATAATCTCACAAAAGCCACTGTTTTATCTTACACCAGTGGTGGCGAACCTATGGCACGTGTGCCAGAGGCGGCACACAGAGCCCTCTCTGTGGGCGTGCGCACCATGTCCTGGAAATGGCAACTGTCCCTCTTCAACCAGCCGCCTGCTAACTCGCCGAGGTCCCACGTCACCAGATGCATCCCAACATGGCTGGTTTCCCTCCCCCCTCCCATCCCTCCTGACCTCACATACTCTCCTTTTCCCAGGCACGACTCACTGCATCACCTCCTCAGCTGTCGGCCGGCCCTCCAGCTCAGAGGCGGCTTCTCTGAACTGCTGGGAGCGGGCTGCGGAGCCCCAGAGTGCGCCGGTTGATGGGCTGGCAGGCTGTGGCTGCTGACGGACACTGTCGGCCCCCATGTGCTCGCTGGCCTCTGTGTGGGGGGGACGATGGTATCAGGCAGCAGCCGCCCTGGCCCCTGCCTTGCCTTGCCATGCAACAATGGCACCCCCACCCTGCCTCGCCTTGCCTTGCCTCACCCCTCAGGATGAACCTCCTGCCCACTGCCCACCTGCCAGAGATCCCCTGGATCTCCCCCAACCCTGCCCGGCCCCCACAGGTGTCCCTCCTCACGAGCAACATTGAGGTGACCACACCCACCTTGGCCACACCCAGCCAGTATGCCACGACCACAGCCACGCCCATCCAGTGGGCCACACCCACCTGGCACCCGGCGATAAATAAGTGGGTTTTGGGTTGCAGTTTGGGCACTCGGTCTTTAAAAAGTTCGCCATCACTGTCTTACACCATGGCATCTGCTTTCTTACTGAGCAAACAATCAGTAGCCAATAGCAACGAGCTATTATGACAGGAGGTCCTCGATGTATAAATCGTTCATTTAGCCACCCATATGAAGTTACAGGGCACTGAAAAAAGGGACATAGGACTGGTCCTCGCATTTAGGACCATTGCGGCATTCCTCACTGTCACATGATCAAAATTTGGGCACTTGGCCAGACCGACATGTATTTGCAGTGTTCCGGGATCGTGCGATTGTCATTCTGAGACTTTCCCAACCGGCTTCTGACAAGCAAAGTCAATTGGGGGAGGGGAGCCAGATTTGTTCAACAACGGCATGATGCGTTTAACAACTGCAGTGACTTGTTTAACCATGACAAAAGAAGGTCCTAAATCTGAGGGCGATTCGCTTAACAGCTGCTTTGCGCAACAATGGAAATTTTGGTCCCGATTGTGGTTGTAAGTCAAGAGCTGCCGGTAAAGACAAATTATTCCAGATAGGGGAGAACTGGAAGAATCCTGAGCGGGAATTCAGTTTTTGGCTTTAACTATGTAGTGCCGATACTTTGCTTCTCGAATAAAAGATTCTTTAAGGCAGTGGTTCTCAACCTGTGGGTCGGGACCCCATTTGGGGTCGAACGACCATTTCACGGGGGTCGTCAAACAACGCAGTCCGCCATTTTTCCCCCCTTTTCCTTAGCTGTGCTACTCCCTTTTATTCTATTGGCTTTTGAAAGCCAATAGAATAGACTCTCTTGAATACAGTCTAATTCTATTGGCTTTCAAAAGCCAATAGGAATTGTCCAGGCTGTCTCTGCCCTGCTGAGCCCGCCAAAAGTCCCATTCTGCAAATGGTGCTGCACCAGTTGAGTAGTCCTCGACTTACGACCGGTTGGGGGTCGCGGCATTAAAAAGGTTGAGAACCACTGCTTTAAGGTAAATAACGCCTCAAAGTTCTTTTGAAGAGTCTCATCTGTCGGAACCATGACACTACTCTTCTCTTCTCCAGCCTCAATATTCTCTTGGGTTTCTCCTTATTCAGACGTAGCACCCAGACCACCCCTCTGCTATGGTCTGAAAACTACTCTAGTTTCTCTTTAAAGCGGAGTACCCAGAATTGAATCCTGTACTTAAGATGGGGCCTGGACAACACCGAATACAGCAGAACTATTATTTCCAAGGATATTTCTACCGCTGCAAACAAAATTTGTCTTTTCTCTATGTATATCGCTCCGTGGACACATATCCCACAGTGTTACTAAAGAAATATCAGATTTCTGACTTTAGAAAAAAGAAGGCTAGACCACCCAGGTCAGCGATCGCAAACCTTTTAGAGACCGAGTGCCCAAACTGCAACCCCAAAACCCACTTACTTATGGCAAAGTGCCAACACGGCAATTTAATCTGAATACTGAGGTTTTAGTTTAGAAAAAAACAACTCATACATTAACATCTTTTGTCTTAAAAGAAAAACACAATGACAAAGCTTTCAATGATACAAACAACTTTTTACTGAAAGGTAGAAGTTTTGCATTTGGCATGCTTTTGAACAATTAATGTGATTTTGGCTGTTTTATGCATGCTGATAATTTGTCTAACCTTGGCTTATACTTTGTAAGTTTGAGAGCAACACGGGCAGCATTCAGTCATCTGTTAGTCTGTTTCTGATGTCAGATTTGGTATAATTCAAAGCTGAAAATAGTGCGCTCACTCCGGAGGCTTCTTTTGGCTAGGAAGGGGCTTGAGAAATGGGTTTTTCCTGTGAAAACCTAGCCAAAGAGTGAGGTGCACATGTCCACAGAGAGGGCTCCGATTGCCCCCTCTGGCACGCATGTCATAGGTTCGCCACCACTGGCCCAGGTCTTCGATCTGATCCAGCATGACATTTCCTAGGCTGCCAATGTTGACAGACGCAGAAGAGAGAAAGCGATTGGGTTCAGAATCCAAGAAATAAGCAGAGGACAGCAACACCCAAGGATTCGCTCCGAATCTTGCAAGCTTGCTTTTTAAGTGAAAGACTCCTTGGAAGTCCTCGGAAGACTTTCTTGACATAAACTGAATCTGAATTGTATAAATAAATCATATTAAAAATATTTTTTTTAAAAAAATCCTCTCCTCTACCTGAAGTGGGTCAACAGCAGTTTCTATTCCACCGCAGAGAAAAACAGAGGACTTTATCCTTTTTGTCAGCCTCAATTCATCCCTTACAAGAGACACAAGACAGTGGGAAGGCTGAAGCATTTGCCTGTCTCAGAAATGAGAAGTTATGGTGCTAAGTGTTCTTAAGGAGAAGTAAGTCCCTTGGGCACACGAGGATTTACTCCTGAGTAACAATAAATATATTCCCTGTGCAACGGAGGCAAGCCTAAATCACCATGGGCATCACTAGAACCTTTATCATTTCATTTAAAAATGAGAAAAATCTCTTAAAGGTATCAGTTTTACAGAGTTAAAAATTGAAACATTATGGAAAAGAATAGGAATCCCGTTTTTCCCCCCAACCCCGAATTAATTAATTTGATACAATATTCATATGTCAACATCCCGTTCGAGAATCCAAATATAACTCCAGGTTCATTCCATTTCCAAAAACCTGTTTATTGAATACACTGCATGGTAATGTCAAAACAAAACTAACTCTGAGGTTCCCAGACACCAGTTCGTAGAATTAAACAATAATTTCTCCGGCCAAACCCCCACCCTCTCATGTAGTCCACGTAAACAATTTCACTTTGTTATGGGAACTGTCTGCTTTCTTTCCACACTTGCTGCGGTGTCCTTGGTAATGTTTCAGGCTCTCCCGGTCTTTAGCTGAATCGCAGAGGTTTTGTTTCTCCATCTAAGTTATTCTAAAGCAGTGGTTCTCAACCTTTTTAATGCCGCGACCCCCAACCGGTTGTAAATCGAGGATTACTCAACCGGTCGTAAGTCGAGGACTACTCAACTGGTGCAGCACCGTTTGCAGAATGGGACTTTTGGCGGGCTCAGCAGGGCAGAGACAGCCTGGACAATTCCTATTGGCTTTTGAAAGCCAATAAAATTAGACTCTATTCAAGAGAGTCTATTCTACTGGCTTTCAAAAGCCAACAGAATAAAAGGGAGTAGCATAGCTAAGGGGGAAAAAAATGGCAGACTGCGTTATTTGGCGACCCCCGTGAAATCGTTGTTCGACCCCAAATGGGGTCCTGACCCACAGGTTGAGAACCACTGGTCTAAAGCAACATCTCCCCAGCCTTACTCTAATGGCAAGTTGAAAAGAAAAAGGAAGCACAACTTACTTAGGTTGTTATCAGGTAGCTTTCCTTCATCCGATTGTAGCCAATGAGCATGAGTGTTTAGAGAGCCAATCAGGTGTCATCCTGTTTTGGCAATGAGCCAATCAGATCACAGTAGGATTCAGTTATTGATGTCACAGTATTGAAGCTGAGTTCAGTGTGTTATGTGATGGCTATCAAGTCGGTTGGATTTTTTTGCTTCTTTCATTTAGTGAGCTCGAAAAACGTAATAAAATTAAAGTAATGGTACAAAAGAGTTGATTGGTTGCCCAGAAAGCGATGTAAAATAGTATTATTAAGTGAACAAGGCTACAGCTGTAAAGAAATTAGAAGAAAAATTGGTGGAAACTTAACCAAAGGTGGCATTTCTACTGTACACTTTTGCCAAAAGGTTTCCACAATTTTGGCCACTACTGTAGCTGCCAAGGTTTCATTCTTGACATCGTAATCTTTAACATAAGAGCATTTGAGAATAAAGTAAGGCAAGCTTCTTTTTCTAACCCAAAAAATCCAGGGAGCAAAAGAGTAGCCCAGCATTTCTTGTATGAGCCAGGAAGGCCTAGCTCTTTTACGACTCATGGACTTCAACTCCCGGAATTCATGAGCCAGCTATGGCTCAGCTTGGAAACCTCTCCCTTTCCCCTCAGCATGGCTGACTCAGGAATTCTGGGAGTTGAAGTCCACAAGCCAAAAAAGGGCCAAGTTTGAAGAACACATTCCTAGACAGTCACTTCTCTGAAATGGTATAGGGCAGGGGTAGGCAACCTGGGCTCTTTTATGACTCGTGGACTTCAACTCCCAGAATTCCTGAGCCAGCCTGGCTCAGCTTGGAAACCTCTCCCTTTCCCCTCAGCATGGCTGGCTCAGGAATTCTGGGAGTTGAAGTCCACAAGCCAAAAAAGGGCCAAGTTTGAAGAACACATTCCTACACAGTCACTTCTCGGAAATGGTATAGGGCAGGGGTAGGCCACCTGGGCTCTTTAATGACTCGTGGACTTCAACTCCCAGAATTTCTGAGCCAGCATGGCTCAGCTTGGAAACCTCTCCCTTTCCCCTCAGCGTGGCTGACTCAGGAATTCTGGGAGTTGAAGTCCACGAGTCATAAAAGAGCCAAGGTTGATTACCCCTGGCCTAGCTGAACTACACAACATTGTCACAAATTCTTACCTGGCTGCGTGATTCCTCTTGGATCTTCTTGCAGGGTCCCTGTTTGCAAAGGATTCCCTATGATGGTGTCCAGCGGAACCTCCTCTGTTGCAGGGAAACCATATTCCATTTTTATAAAGAACTGGTTTATCTGAAATGGCAACAAAGATCCACAGGTTAGAAATGGGAGCAGGATTGGGAAAAAAAAAAAAAAAGAGCGAGGCAGGCAAATACAGGTAGTCCTTGACTTGCAACAGTTTCTTTTAATGACCATTCAACGTTACAACGGCACTGAAAAAAGCGACTGATGACCGCTTTTCATATTTATGACCACTGCAGCATCCATGTGGTCCAAATTCGGACACTTGGCAACTGACTCAGAGTTATGACGGTTGCCATGTCCCGGGTTCACGCAATTCGCATTTGCGACCTTCTGACAAGCAAAGTCAATGGGGGAAGCCGGATTCACTTGACGAGCGGGTTATAACTTAAGAATGGCAGTGATTCGCTTAACAACCGAGGCAGGAAAAGTTGTAAAATTGGGCAAAACTCGCTTAACAACTCTCTCGCTTAGCAAGAAAAATTTGGGGCTCAGTTATGGTCATAAGTCAAGAACTACTTGTAGTTTTGAGGTGTCCCCTACTGGAGGGCTTTTCAACCAGTGGTACGGATACCACCTGTGGTACATTGGCATCTGGCAGGTGGTACGCAACCATCCTAGAAAAGTGGTAGCGGGGGAGGTGGATGAGCTGAACCGGTGGCAGCACCGCACAAGCCTGAGCGAGAGATGGCTGGAGCTACAGGGCTGTCAGGGCTCAGCGGAAGCGCCAGGATCAGAGCTAGGCTCCATCTGGAGCTCAGCGCTGATCTTGGCGCTTCCGCTGAGCCCAGAAGAAGCACCGATCAGCTGGAATGTTGCAGCCTCTCCAGGGTCTTGTGATTTACATTCAGATGCTTGGCAACTGATTCATATTTATGACGGTCACAGTGTCCCAGGGTCATGTGAAGTGACCAAAACCTGCTGCAACCACCCAGCAGACGGGGGGAATAAAAACCAAACACCCCCCACCCCACCCCCGCTGCCAATCCTCAACAGAAATGCTCACAACAATGAAAACCTCGGATAGGAGGAAGAGCACCGCCAGATGGGCAGGCAGGTGTCTTGCTCGGCTGTGCCTTGGGGGCACTTTTTTCAGTGCCATTGTAACTTCAAACAGTCACTAAGCGAACTGTTGTAAGTCGAGGACTACCTGTACTTTATCACTTTTTTCCTTTTTAGGGGGGTCATCAGGTTTTTGACACTTTGCTAGGCAACTGGCGGTCCTTGGATGTTGCCATATCCTAAAAGTGGTACAATGGGTGAAAAGGTTGAAAAGCCCTGCCCTACTGGATGTTATGTAGCCCTTTGAAACCATCATGAAAGTTGGCCCCCACCTGCTGCTGCTGCTGCTCCTCCACCTTCTTCTGCTCCATCTGATCCAGGAGGAAGCCTTCGGCCAGGGCCAATACTTGGGAGCTGTTCTCTGCTCTGCATTTCTGCCCAGCTGGACATCTCCACGGATAGGATGGCCAGAAGTTGCTCCAGGATCGCCAAGTCCAGCATCTGGCTCTTGGTATGTCGTTCCGGCTGCAGCCACTGACAGGAAAGACAGTGGAGACGGCTGCAAACTTCTCGAGGACCTTCCGCCTCCTGGTAGCTGAAGCCCCTGAAACGCTGGCGATGAGCCTCTGCGCTGAACGTGTCTTTCTCCAAAGTCTCCTGCACTGTTCTTTTCCAAGATTCTTCACTGCCTTCGGGCAGCGTGGTATCACGGCCTTCTTTTTCTTCAGAAACGGCCGAGTCTTGTTCCTTCATTTCTGTCTTTTTTTTTTTATGCCCTGGCCTAGGAGAACCACTAGCAAGTCTAAAGGAATATTATTTCTTCCCAATTTGGCCTTCACACAGTGCAATGCAACAGGGCTGTAGTGTTAAGGCAGAGAGACAGCCGCAGACTGACAAAGCAACAAGCAGACTTTCATCCTCAGATTCAAGGCTTGGATCTCAAGCCAAAGGTAGAAACGGGAGACCTAAAACCCATAGTTTTTTCTAGGAAGTAAACTGCATTCATGTTCAACAGCACAACTAATCCTTCGTTGTCTGTTCAGGACTTGCCCAAACTGCTCTCTCTACCTGCCATCTCCCTTTGCCTAATTGTTGAGCTTTTTCCATCCTCTGCGCAGCTGGCTTTCTGTTCAACTGTCCATCCATAAAGAAAGAAGGCAGCCGATTCAAAAGAGGCAAAAAACATTCTTGCAGACCCACATTAAGTGGAGTGGAAATGGGAGGGGAGCAACAACCATGAAGAGCCCCCATTTTTATGTATTTGTAAAGGTGGAACTTCACCTCAATTCTCAAAAGGTTTTCAATAAGTTCCCTCCCCCTCCAACCACAAGGTCAAACCTGCAAGGACAGTCAGGCGAATAATTATGCGGAAAGGATTGAAATCCCACTAAAACCACAAAAGGTTTGTTGCTTTCATCATCATCATAAATAATAATAATAGTAGTAAAGTTGGAAGGGACCTTGGAGATCATCTAGTCCAACCCCCTGCTCGGGCAGGAAACCCTACACCATTTCGGACAAATGGCTGTCCAGTCTCTTCTTAAAAACTTCCAGTGTTGGAGCATCATCATCATAGCTGGAAGGGACCTTGGGGGGGGGGAGATCTTCTAGTCTGGTGGGGGAGGAAGAAACACAAGAGATCAGTCAGTGGCTTCTCCAGAAAATGGGAAATGGGTTTCTTTGACCGTCTTCACTTTGTTTAATCATCATCATCATTATCATCATTGCTGGAAGGAACCTCGGAGGTCTTCTAGTCCAACCCCCCTGCTCAAGGAGGAGACACTATACCTTCCCCCAGCCCAAAAGAGAACAAAAAGACCCAAGCACCTCTCCACCAGCAGTCAGCACTCAGATCAGCATAGGTTAACTCCAAGGCTAATATCAGGCCAACAATCAAGCAAAGAATACCCCAATCGAGAAACTGCCAAAAGAAGCAAATAGCCCAACCAAAGAATCTCTAAGACCACCTCCACCAACACTGAGAGGGCAAGAAGCCATTAGAATATAAACTGATAGCAAACTGCATTCCTTACCAGCACTGATGATGTTACCTAGTTCGGTAATGAAACGTCTCCAAGAAAACAAGCAAGCTCAGAGAGCACCAAGGACCCCTCGTGTCAACCCTGAGCTGCAAATATTCTCCTTTAATAATAACACTCTACCATTTCAGACGGGTGGCTGTCCAGTCTCTTCTTTAAAATGATGAAGCACCCACAACGTCTGAAAGGCAAAGCTGTTCCACTGATTATTTGTCCTCCCTGTTAGGAAGTTCCTCCTTAATTCCAGATTGCTTCTCTCCTTGGTTAGTTTATAATAATAATAGAGCTGGAAGGGACCTTGGAGGTCATCTAGTCCAACCCCCTGCTCAGGCAGGAAACCGTATACCAGGGGTGTCAAACTCGCAACTTGCTTCTCTCTTTGATCAGTTTCCATCCATTGTTTCCTGTCCTGCCCTCTGGTCTCTCTCCCTGCGCATCAGCTCTGCCTCTCGTTGCTCCCCTGCAGTTTCCCCCATTGCAAAGGGAAGGGAGTCACCCTAATCCCCCAAAGAGACCCCCGAGGCAGATTCAAGGTGGGTGGAACCCCACCGATTGAGACAACCGGCCAGCAGTTGAATCTTCCGGTAGGAAGCCTGTTTCACTGAGAAAGGTACAGGTTTTCCTCCATCTACTTCCGTCCTCTCTGGGCAGTGGCTTGTCTTCCTTAACTCCTAGAGGGGCCGAGTCGCCTCTGCAAACAGAGTCCGGATCCTCCCTTGCATTCTTGCAATACGTCGTGCAATAAAAAGGTGGTTGCAAAAGACCCCAGTTTTGCTGTTGGGAATCCTTTAGTGGCTGAATCACAAAAGGTGATTTTTTTTTTAATTACCTCTTTTCAATTTGCCCTGAATTTGTATGATTATTTCCCTAGGGCAGGGCTGTCCAAACTTAGCAACTATTAAGACTTGTGGACTTCAACCCCAATCAGAAGAAATAGGGGAGACACGATAGCAGTGTTCCAGTATTTGAGGGGCTGCCACAAAGAAGTGGGGGTCACGTTATTCTCCCAAGCACCAGAGGGCAGGACAAGAAACACTGGTTGGAAACTGATCAAAGAGAGAAGCAACCTGGAATTAAGGAGAAACTTCCTGACAATGAGGACAATTAACCAGTGGAACAGCTTTGCCTCCAGAAATTGTCTGTGCTTCAGCACTGGAGATTTTAAAAAAAGAGACTAGAGTAGACAATCACTTGTCTGAGATGGTATAGGTCAGGGGTAGGCAACCTTGGCTCTTTTATGACTTGTGGACTTCAACTCCCAGAATTCCTGAGCCATGCTGGCTCAGGAATTTTGGGAATTGAAGTCCACGAGTCATAAAAGAGCCAAGGTTGCCTACCCCTGGTATAGGTTCTCCTGCTTGAGCAGGAGGCTGGACTAGAAGACCTCCAAGGTCCCTTCCAGCTCTATTCAGCATGGCTGGCTGAGGAATTCTGGGAGTTGAAGTCCAGAAGTCTTAAAAGTTGCCAAGTCTGAAGACTCCTGCCCTATTAGAATTCATTCTTGGTTGCATGGAAGCCCAAGGGAGCTGTGTGCAAAATTAATAAACACTATTTATAAACACAATTATAAATATTTATAAACAAAATTATAAATATTTATAAACAAAATTAATAAGCCCTGGTCAATAAAGTGGCAGTACTCTTTACCATCGTTTGTATGAGCTTCTGTACCAGCACATTTGAATTCTGCATCTGGAGAGCATTTTTAAGGATCTGGCAGATAAGTAGAAAAACAAACAATGGGATCACTAGAACAAATAAAATCATAACTGTGACCTGAAGAGCTAAAGACCATCAGGGGTCAACTGTCACAGAAGGGATTGGCATATTCAGAGGGACCAGAAATAGGTATTCCTCATTTAGTGACCACATTTGGGGCCAGCAATTCAGTTAAGTGTTCACTAAATGAAATCATGACTGTATTATGATCTTACTTCAGCTTTCCTTTGCTTTACAGACCTTCAAAGGATGCAAATGAGAGGACTGGTCAGTAAACTTACAGTTTCATCGCTATCATAATTATGAATGGCCACTAAACAAGGGGGTTGTTAAATGATGTCTATCTGAAATTTCCTTCTGAAGGCGTCATCTTGCGGGTTTTTCTTAGCTTAGGAAAAAAGAAAGAAATGTGTGGATATCTGGATAGTTGAAGTCTCCCATTACTACTGTGGTATGCTTCCTGAAAGCAATTAATTGGTTGGCATTTCATCTGGTTGGGTGGGTGGTCTGTAATATACACCTATGCCAATGTCACTTTTTTATATATATATATTCACCCTTATACTTGTCAGAAGAATTTCCCGGTTCGCTTCCAGCTGGGAAAAGCCAACACTGAAGGAAATTGAGGAGAGCAGCTACCGCAAAGCAGATCTTTATTTCAGGAAAGCAATAAGGCAACAGTGGAGTGACTTCAGCGTTCCTGCCTTGCAAGGTGGTCCTCTGGTCCCATGTGTGGCTTTTTATATGTTTTTTCTACCCTGGGGCTGTGGGTGAGCTGGCTCTTTCTTTCGTGTTTTTAATGGTTGCTTGATGTTCTTTTCTTTGTCCTAAGTGGTATCTCCTTTGTCCAGTTTCTATTTTGGGTGGCTTAATCCTGTCAGGCGCAGGGCAGGTAGTTCTCCTCAAGGATGTTCCTGCTAGAAGTAAAGTCTTCATCCTGGTTCATCCAAGCCGGGAATAAATAGGCAACATGGAGACTGCTTTGGGAAGAAGGTTACAGTTTATTGAAGAAGCAGAAAGTTGGTCCTTGCAGGAAGGAGCAAAGGAGAGGAAAGAGAGAGAGCACATGGGGTAGTAGGGTTTTTTATATCCTCTCTAGCCTTGTTTGGAATAGTTTCCTGTTCCTGTGGCATGAACCTTGAGGCTGTTTCTGAGTGTTTGTCTAGGCCTTGATATCTGTGGTTTAATTCTATTATCATATCCTGCTTCCCAGGTGATGGGGCTGACTCCTAGAGTTTGTCTTCTCTTTTGTCTTCTTGATTGCTCTGGCTTCAACTTTCTGATGGTTTTACATCTGCATTTGTATAGGGCTAAAGTCTTGCTTGGGGCAGAGAGATAGATTTGGGGCCAGGTTTGGTTTTAAAAAGTCCTTTTGAGGAAAAATATATTTTTCTGCCCTTTTTAATATTTCTTCTCTGGGCTAACTTTCATCAGTGGTATGCCCAGGATTTCAGTGGAAGGTTTTTTCAGGAAAAGTGTGTTTGTATGTTTTCCTAATGGGGGGTGAGAATATGGGGGTTTTGTCTAGGTGGCTCTTCCAACAATTCCCACGCTTTGGGTTGGGGCGGATAACGCAGGTGGATTATCTTGCCCTCAGCCCAATCTAAGGTGGTGTCTGGGTAAACATGAAATCTTTGTGTCTATCTGGTGCAGTGGTTCTCAATCTGTGGGTTGGGACCCCATTTGGGGTCGAATGACCATTTCACGGGGGTCGCCAAACAACACAGTCCGCCATTTTTTTCCCTTTTCCTTAGCTGTGCTACTCCCTTTTATTCTATTGGTTTTTGAAAGCCAATAGAATTAGACTCTCTTGAATAGAGTCTAATTCTATTCGCTTTTAAAAGCCAATAGGAATTGTCCAGGCTGCCTCTGCCCTGCTGAGCCCGCCAAAAGTCCCATTCTGCAAACGGTGCTGCACCAGTTGAGTAGTCCTCGACTTATGACCGGTTGAGTAGTCCTCAACCTACGACCGGTTGGGGGTCGCGGCATTAAAAAGGTTGAGAACCACTGATCTGGAGCATTATGAGTGCTGTCCGGTTACTTGGTTTCCTCTGATTGGGATGGCAGCTTTTGAGGCAGGTGAGAAGTGCGGGGCCACAGTGGCAGAGACAACATAGGAAGACTCCAATTGTATCTGAATTGTATCTGAAGAGGGATGAGAGGGAAGAAAGGAGAGGAGAGAGAAAAGAGTAAAGGAGGGGAGAAGGAAGTAGGAAGGTTGGAGGAGAAGTGGGGAGAAATGGTGAAGGAAAGAGAAGAGGAGAGAAAGAAGAGGGAAGTAGGGAAGAGAAGAAAGGGAGAAAGAAGGTAGAGAAGAAGGAGTGTGGATACAGTGAAAGGGGAAATGGGCAAGCAACACCAAAAGTCATGTGTATGTGTTTATTTCATTTTATCAAAAGTATCTTATATATGAATGTAAAAAGAATGTATGTTAACATCTGATAAATTTCACGGTATATGTATGGGGGAGAGTCTGGAAAAATAAAAAATTATTTAAAAAAAACATAGGAAGACTCCTAGAACACAGACTGTGATTATGCTTGCGATTAGGATCTTAAGCCAATGGAAATCTAGTAGTCAGGAGAAAAGCTAGGAAAGGTCTAGGGATGGTTGATTATGACCAATATCCAAGGCTAGCTCTTTTCAGTGGCGGATGTCTTTTTCAATGAGTCCAGAGGACTCCTCTAGGTCAGTGATGGTGAACCTTTTAGAGACTGAGTGCCCAAACTGCAACCCAAAACCCACTAATGCATCGTCGAGTGCCGGGTGGGTATGGCCCATTGGGTAGGTGTGGCCAATTGGGTGGGCGGGGCCAATTGGGTGGGCATGGCTGCAGTGGTAACGGCAGACTGTGTGGGACTAAAAAGTTCAATCAATCAATTCGAACTTTGCGAGAACTTTTTTTTCCCGTGAGAAGTTGAAATTGACTGATTGAACTTTTTTTTTTTTTTTTGCACACGGTGGCAGAGGCCTAAAGCGAAAAGATTTTATAAAACCCAGCTGAAGGCCTAGGACCCGGGCGACGGCGCACGTGCGCACAGAGAGGACTCTGAGTGCCACCTCTGACCCCCGTGCCATAGGTTCGCCACCACTGCTCTAGGTCAAAGCAGCATAAACCTCTAAATTCCTCACAGCCATGGTTATGCCTTAATAGTAGGTAACCTATTGCTGCGCGATTTTCCAAGGTCGCTTCTCGGACCTGTCTTAATTCACTGTTTAGGGCATCCAGAGCGTGGGAGGTCGAATTCAAGCTTTTGGCTAGAGTGCATGCCAGGCTATTCACGTTTCTGGAGTTTCATGTTGCGAACCCTGGCACTCCCACTAGAGACACGGCCAATGAAATATATT